ACAGCAATTACGGCAAAAAATACGGCATGTGCCGTAACCGTATTAATTTGTAAAATTAATTCTACCACCAACTATAGGTCCAGCTGATTCGGGATTTCCACCTACACGGCTACTAATTTTTGGTGAATTCGTACTATTGATTTTTATAAATAATGTACCAATCTCGAATAATGGCAAGAGCTGTTGATAATCCTTTAATTCCTTCTAATATAGGATTGCCGTTTTAATCGTGCTTTATATGATCCGAGAACTAGGCCAAGTGAGCTGACATATTGAGACCGTAACCGTAAACTGTCTTGTATACTGCAGTTTACGGTGATATTTTATCCCGATCGTCAATGACTTCATAAAAGATTTTCACATTTTATAAATACGCCCAAATTTGGATATTTTTTATTTTTCTACACGTGTCAATGAAGAAAATGTAATATGATAACTTTATTTGTTAATAATAATCATCATAATAAAATGTCAAAGGGATCAATAGAAATGCTCTGGTAAATTGACGAACTCTTCAATCTTTGCTATTAAAATAAATTTCTACATTCTTTATTTCCTCTTGATTATAAAATTAGTAACTAATTTATAATATAATCTAATTTATGATATAATGGAATTTGACGGTGAACCTCGTAAAAGGCCTTTGAGTCAGAAAGATCCAAATGGGATTCATCCGATAGAACCATTAAAAATGACACCTCTTTACCACATAAAAAAAGCTGAAAGTGCAATATCGACATTGAAAACAGTTGTTCATGAATCTGATTGGAAAAAGATATTGGATCATAGTAGTGGAATTGTCATTTACATGAAGCTGGATAGTTCAGAAAATGGAAATATTCCACTAATTAAAGGTGAATTAAATATACAAGGGTTTACGCCTAATGAAATTTTCTCTGTCATTGAATTGCGAGATATTTGGGATGACTGGTAAGAATCTTTTATATGGGATTTATAATAAAGACATATATTAAATTACTTTATATAGGTACGAAAAAGGTTATCTCATTGAAAAACTGAGCAAATCAATAAGCTTAACTTATACTATCATGAAAGGGCCATTTAAATCCAAGTAAAAATTATAATATTATATTTGTAAAATAATAATTTTTACATAATAATCATCATAATAATAATCTATGTATACATATTATTTATTAACATCCTCAGAGATTTATCACTGATAGAAAAATTTGAACTTAGCAAAAGCGGAACGATTTATTATGCGTCCACATCTGTCGATACTCTAAAAGCACCGCTTTTGAATGAAGAAAGCCGAGAAAAATTAAAACTCAGTGGCTGGATACTTAAACCTGTATCTAATTCACCACCTTGTACAAAAGTAATATACGTTATTCAAATGAATGGATTATTGCCTTTTGACACTTCTAAAACATATCTGGCTAGACGACCTCTCGTAATTAATACTATAAGTAAACATTTACAAAATAATAAACAAATTGTTGCACACCCTGCTTTTAAACCTCCTCCCCGAGGTTCTAGTCTTGCATCTTTTCAACAATCAAATCAAATAAGTAACTTCAATAGTAATGATGCACCGAAAAATGGATCTAATAGAAGACAAAGTAGACTAAGTTCTCTTGGAGATATAAACGAACATGAAGAAGAAGAAGATACGGAGCTGAAAATTCCTGATTTTCCTATGCCACCCGAAAAATCAATTGTACCTAGACATTCCCTTGAAAAATCAATTGTACCTAAACCTTCCCTTGAAAAATCAACTGTACCTAAACCTTCCCTTGAAGAACCAATAATACCTAAACATGAATCTCAAGATCCTTCAGAATTAATCAAAAAACCAGTAAAATCACATAAACATTATAATGCAGCACAAAAAACTCTTGAATTATTTAAGCTCTTGGCTAATGATTGGGATGGTTGGAATCTTTATGCAGAATCTAAAGGCGTTAAGATTTATCAAAAGAATAACGGAAAACCAATGCCGTATTTACGTGGAGATGCTACTATTTATGGTGAATTCCATCCTGCAGACATTCTTTCATACATTATTAATTTGGATTCACGAAAATTATGTAAGTAGCTTTTATATATAAATATTATATAAAAGACTAATACCGAAATCTCAACATTTCTCGATACATAGGGGACGACCGATATGAAGAAGGTTCTGTCTTGGAACGTTATGGTCTTGATGATGCGATAACAAGAGTAGCAATGAAGGGCACTTTCCCGATCAGGTAAATTTTTATAAAGATACATTTACATATATATAATTATTCATAGTTATTCACATACCATGCTTATCTACAGTAGTCGTGACTTAATTACCATTGGCACAATTGAACGTGATCCGGCTACCGGTACAATTTGGGTTGCTGATTCATCTATAGTAGATTCAAGATTTCCGGAGGACAGCAAATATGTTAGAGCTAATTTAGTTGTTGCCGGATGGGAATTCCGTCCGAAATTTGATGATGGAAAAATAATTAGCGTTGATGTCAAATACATTATTGACATTGATCTCAAGCTTAATTCAGTTCCACAGTCAATTCTTAATATGGTGTTGCAAACACCATTGTGTATTGCTAAGATTGATAATACATTACAAAAAATAGGCTTTCCACCATATATCCTAAAAACATCCGGATTAATAAAAAATACCGAGTTCAACATAAAGACTTTCCAATATGAAGTTACAATTTCAATCGATGGAGGCACAATCACAGAACTTCGAACGTCAAAAAAAATGTACCCTAATGGCTTTGATATTTCAGTTCAACCTGAAAATGTAAAGGTTGAATCCCTTCTAAATAGCAATGAAAATGTTCGTATTACTGTCCCAAATGGCACAGAAACATTACATATCAAGATCACAAAAAATACCGAGGGAGCTCAGAATACATTTAAAGGAGAAAAAATTGTACTTTCCAAGGAAATTGTCTCTATTTCGATATCACCCTTGGAAAGGTCCAACAGCCACGAGAAAGAAAATATAAATCACAGTAAAGCGGCGCAAACAAATCATAGATCTTTTGTTTTAAACAATGGTTTAAAGAATCAAATAAACGGTAAGATATGTCATTTTTCGACGCACATTATTTAGTGATAAGAATCGACTAAAATTTTTTAGTTGACTAGTCAGCGACATTTTATGACTAGTCGACTAGTCGTATAATATATAAGTAAATAGATAAATTATTAGTCAACCAATCAAAATATTGGTCAACTATTAGCCTACATGTTTATTATAAACAATTTTGAAATATTTCAAATATTTCAAGAAATTTGTTTTCAATTATGCTTGTAATCTATGTTCGATTATATAATCTATCACAGAGCATTTCTGATGATGATTATTAGTCGAATAGTTGATTTTAGTCGACGTATTGTCACGAAATAACGCGACGGGGTGTAATTTCAAATTTTGGCCTAAATTCGGGTCATTACTCTAAATAACGCCCCGGTAGCCGATTCCTATCATTAATATTACTATCATATTTAACTAACATTAATTGAATCTTTAAATTTTTAGATCAAAATAAATCACAAGATAAACATAAAGAGGTATTTTTAGAACAAAATTCACAACAAAATAATCATGAAGAGGATCAAAATAAATTACAACAAAATAATAATGAAGAGGATCAAAATAAATCACAACAAAATAATCATGAAGAGAAGCAAAATAAATCGCAACAAAATAATGAAGAGAATCAAAATAAATCGCAACAAAATAATCATGAAGAGGATCAAAATAAATCGCAACAAAATAATCATGAAGAGGATCAAAATAAATCGCAACAAAATAATCATGAAGAGGTATTTTTAGATCAAAATAAATCGCAACAAAATAATCATGAAGAGGTATTTTTAGATCAAAATAAATCACAACAAAATAATCATGAAGAGGTATTTTTAGATCAAAATAAATCACAACGAAATAATCATGAAAAGGTATTTTTAGATCAAAATAAACCACAACAAAATAATTATAAAGAGGTATTTTTAGATCAAAATAAATCACAACAAAATAATCAAGAGGTATTTTTAGATCAAAATAAATTACAACAAAATAATGAAGAGGTTAATTTTTTTTTTTATTGTTTATTCAGTTATTCTAAGATTGTTTAAACTTACTTTTTTTCTTCTTAATTGAATTTAATATATATAGCTTACCATTCCTGTTTCTGTACAAACTGATTACAGTCTTCATATTTCACCACTACTGAAATATCTACCTGCAACTTCAAAGATTGAATTGATAAAAAATAGTACTAAATCATCTAATACCCATATTATAGGATTTAATACCCGAGAAATTGTAGTAATATTTTCCTTGGTGTTATGTGCCTATTATTCTGGAAAATTAAGCTCATTTTAAATCTAAATTCTATATATTATTTTTATAAAAATCTATATATATGCTAAAATAAATTAGATATTTAATGAAATAATTAATTTTAAAAATAGTAACATCATCTTGAGGGTGTAGTGTTACTTGTTAATAAAATATTTAAACACAACTATATATTTATATATACAATTAATATAAGTTTATATATAGTATATTTATATTTTTTAAACTATTATAAATAAAAATAAAGCAAAACACAACTCTTTCTGATAATCTTTTGTATCAACATTTTACCAAAAGCCCGAACTACAAAAACTACTTAGTATACATATTTATTCATAACAAAACTTTATCATTAGTAGCTAAGAGCAGTGGTTATTCACTGTATATAGTTAAAATTGAAATAGAAATGAAAAAGAGATAACTCTTATAAGCAAAACCCCCTAGTAGAAAACTAAGGTGCTATCAAGCAAAGAAGTAGCAAACCTGGTTTAGAGCTATGTCAAATACTACCAAAGCAATAGCAGAAGTAGATATTTGGATAAATATGTTTTTACTATATAGCGTAACTTTTACACTCTTTACAAAGTTGGTATACTCTCACCTCTTCTTTTGGTATACACTGCCCACTTGTCTTGGCAACAAAAATTTTACAAAAAGTGGGCAAAACAGCTTACACCTGTCAAAGGATCGGCATTGTTTACATTTTTCAAATCCGGACGACATGGTAGACGACAACTACATGTTTGGCCTAAACGAATATGGAGCTACTATTTCAGACTGACCTGGTCAGAAGCTTTCCAATGACTAGACAAAAGATTAAGAAGAACTTCCAGACACAGTTTGTGAGGATGGAAAAAAATTCTATATTAAAGCAAAGCTTTACACTAGAGATATATATATTAAATTCAATTAAGA